CCTCTAGTGTGATAAAAACTTTTTTTATATCTATTTTGAACCGAAAATGAAATACTTATATTAAATGGGACATAAAACATGGCCATATTGAAGTTGAAAAATCAAAGAATTAAATAAATATTACATAGACAGTTATATTAATAAAATAATGGATATGTAATTGTAATGCGTAGATATTTTATGAAAAATTCTATTAACTTTGTTTTAAAGTTAACATTATACAATGCCTACAAATTACAGTTAATTCATTTCTCTGATGTAGGAACTCATTATTTTTAGGAAACTTTATACATATACATATATATATATATAAGTGAACATAGAAGTCAATACTTAGAGGCGACAGTCTGTTTCATGTTAGACGCAATCGTCAAGCCAGATGATAGCGTCGAGCATGAAACAGCTTGTCGCGTCTAAGTGTTGACTTCAATGTTCACTTTTATATTTACACACGCTCTATCTCTGATCTTGAGCACTTTATCCCATATATATATATATATATATATATATATATATATATATATAAATATATATATATATATATATATATATATATATAAAAAAGATATTAATTACAAATGACTGACAAGATTTGCGGTTAACCTATTTTATTTTCTTGCGTTCTTATAATTTTCCTTTCATTTCTGGACATAAATGTAGAAATTGTCTGTATGTCCGAGCACTTCAGGCATTACTTTTAGCCTTATTAAGGGGGATTTAATTTTTACTATTAACTGAATGTGTGGAATTTTTATGTATGTATCTAGAGTGATATGAATGTTTTATTTTCGAAGCAGGGTCAGAACACTGTGGCCGTGTTCATGTCCAGTATGCTGATCGCATGTAACTCTTTTTTTATGAGTCGAATAATCTACTATGGTTTTCTCTATGTATGATGTTGATTCCTTTCTCTTTCATTGTTTTTTTTAACTTTGCATTTTGAAGTTTAAAATTTAATTATCGCAACATGTTTAAAGGTAGCTATAATTGATCCTGTAGACGAAAACACATTTAAGTAAAATATATTCAAATATCTATGAAAAATTGTTTTCATTTCTTGCAAATCAGCAAATCAGCGGATTCATGTGTCATCTTTAATTTTTCTTTTGTTACTGAACAGAAGCACTTCATGCGGAACGTCTTAAAGTTTCTGATATAAGTCCAATGCAATTCAAAAGTTGTAGGAATTTTTTAGACACCATTGATATTCTTGTAATCAATAATATATATCATTATGGGTTTGTTGTCATTATTATCATTCTTCTTCTTCTTCTTCTTCTTCTTCCTCTTCTTCCTCTTCCTCCTTTTTTCTTCTTTTTCCTCTTCCTCTTCTTCTTCTACTTCTTCTTTTTCTTCTTCTTCTTCTTCTTCTTCTTCTTCTTCTTTCCCTTCCTCCTCCTCCTCTTCTTCTTCTTCATCTTCTCCCACTTCTTCTTCTTCCTCTTCTTCCACTTCTTTTTCTTCTTCTTCTTCTTCTTCTCCTTCCTCTTCCTCCTTTTTTCTTCTTCTTCTTCCTCTTCCTCTTCTTCTTCTACTTCTTCTTTTTCTTCTTCTTCTTCTTCTTCTTTCCCTTCCTCCTCCTCCTCCTCTTCTTCTTCTTCTTCATTATCTCCCACTTCTTCTTCTTCCTCTTCTTCTTCCACTTCTTTTTCTTCTTCTTCTTCTTCTTCTTCTTCTTCTCCTTCTTCCTCTTCCTCCTTTTTTCTTCTTCTTCCTCTTCTTCTTCTACTTCTTCTTTTTCTTCTTCTTCTTCTTCTTTCCCTTCCTCCTCCTCTTCTTCTTCTTCTTCTTCATCTTCTCCCACTTCTTCTTCTTCTTCTTTACTTTCAGTGGGAACCTTATAATAAGCTGACTGCCTACACTACAAAAACAGACACCTAACAAATAAACGCTGCGTAAATAGTAATGACATCTGCATATGAACTCAAATATAATAAGAAATCTAATATGAGATGCAATGGTTCAGTAGGGTGATGTCGTATAATCAACAAAAACTATTATTATTATTAATAGTTGTAGTATTAGTACAGTGGAGGCATGATGGAATAATGGATAGCGGTCCCCAACTATGGGTAAATAGCAGGATTGGCTTAGATGGCCTCTGGTCTACCGCAGAAGGAAATGGTAATTAATGATAATCTTCCTCGTCAGTCATGCATCGAAAGATACATGATCACCTAAGCGTGTATCACGCATAGCACATAACTGACTGATATTCACTTACGTGCTAATACCCTTGGGAAAAGTATGAATCCTCTTCTTCTCCCCCCAGCTATGGGTAAATAGTAGGACAGATCTGGTTCTATAGTCTTGGATGGTAACTGGTCTACCGCAGAAAGGAATGGCAACCTAATGCGGGAAAAATCTGCATCGTCAGTCATGTATCGAAAGATACATGATCGCCTAAACATGTATCACGCATGGCACATAACTGACTGACTGAGTAGTATAAGTAGTAGTAGTAGTAGTGAAAATTAATATAATAATAATAATAATCGACAAAAAAGAAAATCTTTTAAATAAGTACAGGTATTCTTTATACGTAATTCCAAAATCCGAAAGTTTCTCAGATGCTGATAATACCTGCCAGGAAAATTTCGATAAATAAATGCCACTAATCGCGAAAGATAATAATAATAATAATACTAATAATAATACCTGCCTGGAAAATTTCAGAAAGAACTGAAAAAGGTTCATAGATGATGCCCGGCTACGTAGCCTACGTTGGCGCCAGTTTCTTGTTAGCGTTCGTCATAACAATACATTCGTTCGTGGATTACTCACAAGGTGTTTCATGCTCAATAAAGATATTATTCAAAATCATTTATATGTTTTTTCTAAGTAATGTTCATTTTTTTTTTTATACACATTCAAAAAGTACAAAACAATATTGTTACGTCAAATCTTAATTTCACCACTTAAAAATCCGTGTGAGCATTACATGACTACCGCCATAACAAGTCTGTGTAGGTACACCAAATTTATTAAACTTCATATAAAACTACTTATGTATAAGCTGTATTATGAAATGTAAAGTCATATAGCATTTATGCTTGGGTTTCATTCCCAAGGTGCACCATTTCATAGACGCTATCTACAAATTAATTAGCCTATATTCTAAAATCCCAAAAAGTCTCAAGACCAAAGCACTTCCAGTCCCAATAATTTCGGATAATGGATTCCCAACCTGTATAATGTATTTTAAAAAGAAATATAAAATTATTTCAGTCTATAAATCGATAAATAAATGCCACTAATCGCGAAAGATAATAATAATAATAATAATAATAATAATAATAATAATTTGTTTGTATCAAGGAACATGAAAGTAGTAAGCGTCTTTATTCCGTAATAAAGGAAGCCAACAAATTCAAAATGGAGTTTCAAATGGGCGCAGAAATACAAGTAAAGCTCAATACACCGGCTGAAGCTACAAAATACTTAAAAAAGAAAGCAAAGACAAATGCAACCGACCAGATACAGAAACAATGGCAAGATAAACCGCTTTATGGCCAATACTCTGCCCGTACGAAACAAGCTGACGTAGACAAAACCCGTACCCATCAGTGGCTACGTAGTGCAGAGTTGATAGCTGAAACTGAAGGTTTTATCCTTGCTGCACAAGACCAATGCTTGCTAACTAGGAATTATCAAGCACATATACTAAAATATTGTGTCAGCCCAAAATGCAGATTCTGTGATAAATATCCAGAAACAATTGATCATCTTGTATCAGGTTGCACGATATTGGCAGCCACTGAATATAAAACACGACATGACAGTGTGGGCCAATATCTGCACTGGAAAATCTGCAACTTCTACGGGAAGGAAACTGAAAGAAACTGGTATGAACACCAACCAGACCCGGTTACGGAGATAGAACCTGTTACAATTCTATGGGACTACACAATACACACTGACAGAACAATCAAAGCTAACCGCCCGGACATTGTTATTAGAGATCCCAAACAAAAAAAATTGCCTCCTTATTGATATGGCAATCTCTGCTGACTGCAATGTATCTTTGAAGATATTCAAAAAGCTATCAAAATACAAGGACCTTGAAATAGACATCTCAAAAATGTGGCACATAGGAACACCAACAATCCCTGTTGTAGTTGGAACCCTAGGACTGGTTGGAAAAGATTCCAGCAGACTAATCGAAGGGATTCCTGGAAGCCCATGCCTCAAAGAAATACAAAACAATGTTCTGACAAGTACCGCCCACACTTTACGAAGGGCTTTATCTATGTAATCTTTTTTTTTATGTCAGTGGAAAGTGTCATGATGCTATATCTAACCTTAGGTCCCTGGGCGGGACCCGGAAAGAAATGAGTACACGCCAGAAATCTAAGGAAATAATAATTAATAATAATACTAACTGAAAGAAATTAGTATGAATCCCACCCAGACCCGGTTACGGAGATAGCACCTGTAACAATTCTATGGGACTACACAATACACACTGAGAGAACAACCAAAGCTAATCGCCCAGACATTGTTATTAGAGACCACAGACAAAAAAAAAGTGTCTCCTTATTGATATGGCAGTCACTGCAGACTGCAATATACCTTTGAAGATCTTCAAGAAACTATCAAAATACAAGGACCATGAAATCGAAATCTCAAAAATGTTGTGCATGACGTCATTAACATTACTAGTTTTAGTTGGAGCCCTCGGATTGATTGGAAAATATTCCGATAGATTCATTGATGGGATTCCTCGTTGCCCATGCTTTAAAGAAATTTTAAAAAAATGTTTTCACGGGTACAGCCCATAACTTACGAAAGACTTTATCTATGTGAAATATATATTTGTTTTTAATTGCTAAGTGGAAAATGTCATGATGAAAATCCTAAACTTAGGTCTCTGGTTGGGATCCAGAAAGAAATGAGTATACAACGGAAATAAAATAAAATAATAATAATTAGTTGTTATATTAACATATATCTCCCATACACTAAATATAAACATTCATGAGTTAGACATAATATTATTGAAATAATGTAAATACAAAATAATCGTATAATATTTTGTCGGTTGATTTTTTTAGTGGCATATCAATAGGTTATTCAATTTCCAAATCTAAATATTTTTAAATGTAATTTTATGCTTTCAACAACAGAAAATGTAATCACACACACACACACACACACACACACACACACACACACACACACACACACACACACACATATATATATATATATGTGTATATATATATATATGTGTGTGTGTATATATATATATATATATATAGATATATATATATATACATATATATATATATATATGTCAGGTCTCATCAGGTGGTATGTTCGGCGATCGGCACAGTAGTAGTTGTAAAATATTATTATCCAGAGTTGTATAAAATTAATAAACATATCCAAAAATGAAGATAATGTACTATATAATCTATAATTGAAATAATCATATAAAAATAGAAAAAAATGTTTCATTCGTTTCTTGCAAACCATACAACATAATAGCAATTAAAATTTGAATTATCAACAGCTTTAAGTAATAATACTAACACTACTACTAATAATAATAATGTGATATTATTATCGCTAATATTCATATTTCATGTTATCATTGTATGTTTCTATACATGAAACACAATATATATATATATATATATATATTTATATCGATATATATATATATATATATATATATATATATATATACAATATATTTAATACTTTATATGTTTTGTACATATATATATATATATATTATTATTATCGCTAATATTCATATTTCATATGTTATCATTGTATGTTCTTATACATGAATATATATATATATATATATATATATATTATATATATATATATATATATATATATATATATATATATGTATATATATATATATATATATATATATATATATATATATATGTTAATGTATTGTTGACATTTTTACTATAAAAATATAATTTATACTGTCATGGTTAGGAGTTCATTATTAGCCCTTAACTAGGACCCTAACAGATGCTACCACCTCCAGGTCAGGGTAGACCTGTGAACAACAGCAATTAAGAGTTGGTTTTATGCTCTTGAAAACCTCTAATCTCTCGATCAGAGGGCTTGTTGCCGAAATTATAATTTCTATTTATTCCGATTTTAGGAGATGATGTCATTTCAAGGTTTCCTTTAAATAATAAAACATTTAACAAATTGACAATTGCAAAAGAAAATCCTTTTAATTAGAGTATTATTATGTAATCATATATCATCAATTTTAAAAAATTACTCAGATGATGTGAAACGGTATTTTATTGAGTTCTATCGCGGGATAATAGCGTTTCACGAAATCTGCCTGCTGAAAAAAAAAAAACAAACAAAAAAAACAGACATAATAAATTCGGAAAATCATAGGTCGAATTAATTAAATTAATACGTCAAAAATTAAATTCTCTCTAATGATTACAAATATAATTTGCGGTAATTGAAAAGTGTCTTCACAATGATCTTGTCATTTTGAGGTGGTTCCTCGGTACTGAACGATTTGGTTACCAAATAAGCGTTTAGAGACATTGCGTACTTTATTCACCACCACACATCAGATATTCTAGGTACTAGTTTCTTTCTTTCTTTCTTTCTTTCTTTTCTGTTTCTATCTATATTAATCTCTTCATATCTATCTATCTACCTATCTATCTTATGATCTATCTATCTATCTCCTTATATATATATATATATATATATATATATATATATATATATAATTATTTATTCGAAAATTATAACATAAATATGTTATAAAATCACTACAAAAAATAGCCATTTTGTTTCAACACTTCTGGTGTCTTATCAAGTGAAAGCCTTTATTCTACATTCAACACTATCACTTGATATATCAATTATATTTGCTCTACTCTGTATTGAGCACTCTTTTAAGAATAGCATTGTTGGTTATTGGAATTTATTCCATATAGAATACTCCTATACTTGGGTATATATATATATATATATATATATATATATATATATATATATATATATATAATTCCTTTCTAAATTTGTTCCTATCTATCTATCTATCTATCTATCTATCTATATTATTCCCTTCCTGTTTATCTTAATATTTTTATCTATCTATCTATCTATCTATCTATCTATCTATCTATCTATCTATCTATCTATCTTATTCCCTTCCTATTTAGCTTGATATTTTTCTTTCTTTCTTTCTTTCTTTCTTTCTTTCTTTCTTTCTTTCTTTCTTTCTAAATTTGTTCCCATCTATCTATCTATCTATCTATCTATCTATCTATCTATCTATCTATCTATACTTGTATTGGAAATAGACATAAATCGAATACAATAACATAGAAGACACCTATTGCACCCTTTCCCCACTAAATCGTACATACGCATCCCAAAAATGCATTAATTTGACAAATGCCATATACAAAATAGATTACTATAAACAAATTGAAATATTATGTTATAAAATTAAAGACAGATACGAATCATTACGTTAGAGTGGGAAAAGTTGTAAATAAAAGAAATAAAATCAGTGAAATACAAACAAGTGAACAATAAACGGTATGATATCCATTGGCTCCTAAGAATTTCAAGAGATTCACAGGTTTTCAGAAAATATGGCACAAAAACTCGAGTTTTAATTGCTTATCGGATTTACATTGATGATGTTAATTTCAAATACCTAACTATTTCTTTACCCTTTCTTATGAATTGGACAAGATAAATCTCTTACGTGTAGCCAACTAGAAGTCTTACTGCATGGCTAAGTATACAGAAATACGACACACACTTTATGTGAAATATGTTGGGTATTATTATTATTATTATTATTATTTGTGGATATGTTTCCTTCTTTGTATCCTGTAGAACCGGGTTCAAACTATGGTCCTTAGGCCCTAAATGGAGAATTGGCATCTAATTGATAGCACTTTTCTTATTATATAGGATATTCCTAATAGGGCGATCTTGTGGGCGAATTGTATGTTGATATTACCTGGGATTCCAGGTCCTTGTATTTGGACAATTTCTCGATAATTTTCATGGCGGTATTTCTCTCAGATGGCACTGCTATGTCAATAAATATACACTTCCGGAATTTCTGGTCTTTTCTGTTGTCTTTTATTTCCATGTCAGTTTGAATTAGCATGTCTCAGAGGATAGTTACATCATTATTTTGGGTAACGGTGTCTGGTTGGACAAAATAACGATGTAACTATTATTATTGTTTTTATTATTATTATAATTAATATTGTTATTTTTATTTTCTTTGATTTCTGGCGTTTACACATTTCTTTTCGGGTCCCGCCCAGGGACCTAATGTTAGAAATGGCATCATGACACTTTCTACTAACAAAAAAAAATACATAGATAAAGCCCTTCGTAAAGTGTGGGCTGTACTTGTCAGAACAATTTTTTGTATCTCTTTGAGGCATGGATTTCCAGGTAACCCTTCAATTAGTCTACTGGAATCTTTTCCAAGCAGTCCTAGGGCTCCAACAACAACAGGGAATGTTGATGTTCCCATATGCCACATTTTCGAGATTTCTATTTCAAGGTCCTTGTATTTTGACAACTTTTTGAATATCTTCAAAGATACATTGCAGTCAGCAGGGATTGCAATATCAATAAGGATGCACTTTTTTGTTTGTGGTCTTTAATAACAATATCTGGGCGGTTGGCTTTGATTGTTCTGTCAGTGTGTATTTTGTAGTCCCATAGAATTGTAATAGGTCCTATCTCCGTAACCGGGTCTGGTTGGTGTTCATACCAGTTTCTTTCAGTTTTCTTCTCGTAGAAGTTGCAGATTTTCCAGTGCAGATATTGACCCACTCCGTCATGCCAGGTTTTATACTCAGTGTGTGCCAATATCATACAACCTGATACAAGATGATCAATCGTTTCTGGATATTTATCACAGAATCTGCATATTGTTATTATTGTTGTTATTATTATTGTCGAGGTTATTATTATTATTATTATTATTATTATTGTTGTTGTTCCTTTGTAAATTAGTTCAAACGTAGGTTAGGCCCCTGCCGTTGCCTCATATAAATAATGAAAAATTCCATTTCAGTTACCAGGAAAGACGGATAAAAAAGATATATCAGCGACGCTATTTGCTTTTCGTGAGCAAAAGAAAGAAAGAAAAGTAACATAACTGTGATGATAACACCCTCGTTCACTTAATGACTGCTTCAGTGAAAAGGAAAACAATTCAATTTCTAATCGTTTCATTTTTTTTCCTCTGACTTCTTCAACTAATGAACTGCTTTCATAATTAGTATTTTTATTGTTATATTTTGTTCTTTAAGCCGCCATATTTAAGGAGGCAATAAAGAAAATCCCACGAGATTTCTGGCAAATCTCGTAAGGGAGATTTTCTCAATCACTAAATTAAAAATTGTAATTCATCGGAAAATTCAAATAGGAAAATGTGAAATTTTCTTGGTTAATGTCAGTTATTATTATCATCATTATATTTCAATTTCTGTTATGGTCACCCTACATACCAACTCTGCGGAAACACCCCAGGCAGGTAAGGTTAGTTGTTATGACTATAGCTCATGATTTGTTTTTTTCACTTTTATTATTTTTGTCATTTTTATTATTCAATATTTTAATAATTGTTTGTATTTCGGTTGTAAAAAACTTGACTGATATTACTATTTTTAGCTTTTTTACTTTTATGATACTAATTAATATATATTTTTAATTATTACTGGTGTGGTTACGATTAACTATATGCATTTATTATAGGGTAATTATAAATAAATACTAACTAGTATTTCAATTAAAAAATTACTATTATATTTAATATCAATAAATCTGTCGTTTTTATTACAAATATGAATAGCATTGTACTTCACCTACGATTATTATTATTATTATTATTATTATTATTATTATTATTATTATTATTATTTCCTTTGATTTGTGTTGTATACACATTCCCTTCCGGGTCTCAGCCAGAGACCTAAGGTCAGATATGGCTTCATGACATTTTCCACTGATCATTTTTGTGAAAAAACTATGGTCACACACATTTTGCATAGATATCATTATTATTATTATTTTTATTTTCTTTGATTTCTGGCGTTTACACATTTCTTTCCGGGTCCCGCCCAGGGACCTAAGGTTAGAAATGGCGTCATGACACATTCCACTGACAAAAAAAAATAAAAAAATAAAAAAATTATTATTATTATTATTATTATTATTATTATTATTATTATTATTATATTTCGATATCTGCTATGGTCACATGACATATCAAGTCTGCGGGAAGACGAAAGTGGTGTGATGTTATCGCTATATTTCATTTTTTTTTAAACTCCCATAACATCGCTAGCATGGCATGGACAAAGTTCCTTTTAGTGTGTGGGTTGGAATTTCATGATAATTTTTTGTATTTCTCTCCTTTTTCTTCTTCTTCTTCTTCTTCTTATTATTATTATTATTATTATTATTATTATTATTATTGATATCACGAAATAAATAAATACGCCAAATATTTAACTCACTCTAATAATTCAAAACATAGCGACAAGGCAAATTCTAATTAAAATGAAAAAGAAATTCCAACGATGGTTACCTACTTAGCTGGCTGCATTTGAATCTGATATTTATAGGGAAGGATACGGATTTCCTGATAGTTTCCCACTAAACTTACCGCTAGATCAAGTCATTTGAAATCATCATCATCATCATCATTTTTTGATTTCTGTTATAGTCAAACTACCTACCAAGTTTTCGGGAAGACCTAAGGCAAGTAGTGGTGTGTTGTTATGACTACATGATTTGCTTTTCTAACTCCCATAACATCACTAGCATGACTTGGACAGAGTTCCTCTTAGTGTGTGGGCTGTAATTATCAAGATAATTTTTTGTATTTCTCTCAAACTGGAGTTTCTAGGGATTTTTTTCAATGTGTTTTTGTGTTCCTTTTTTATCATTCCAAGCGCACCTACTAACTGGTACTATTCTTGTTTTCAATTTCCACATTTTTTCTAATTCGATTCGCAGGTCTTAATACTTCGATAGTTTTTCCTTGGTTGGAATGTTGCAGTCCGCTGGGCAAGCCATAAGAATTAGTAGGAAAGTTTATTATTATTATTATTATCATTATTATTATTATTATTGTTGTTGTTGCTGTTGTTTTATTTCCTTTGATTTCTGGTGTGTACTCATTTCTTTCCTAAGGTCAGAAATGGCATCATAACATTTCCCACTTAGCAATTTAAAAAAATGTTAAACAAAAAAAAAACAAAAAAATGAAAAACAACAAAAAAAATACAAAAAAAAAAAAACAAAAGCACACGCACACATATTTTTACATAGATAAAGCACTTTGGAAGGTGTGGGCTGTACTCGTGAGAACACTTTTTTGTATTTCTTTAAGGCATGGGCTACCAGGATTCCCTTCAATGAGTCTTTTGGAATCTTTTCCAACCAATCCGAGGGCTCCAACTACAACGGGGATTGTTGATGTCCTCATGTGCCACATTTTTGAGATTTCCATTACAGGTTCTTGTATTTTGATAGCTTTTTGAAGATCTTGAAAGATACATTGTGGTCTGCAGGGACTGCCATATCAATAAGGAGGCAATTTTTTTTGTTTGTGATTTCTAATAACAATGTCTGGGCGTTTAGCTTTGATTAATCTGTATGTGACTATTGTCACATACAATTGTTACAGGTCCTATTATTATTATTATTATTATTATTATTATTATTATTATTATTATTATTTCCTTGGGTTTCTATTCTATACACATTTCCTTCGGGTTCACACCAAGAGTCCAAAGGTCAGATATGGGTTCATGACATCTTCTACTGATCATTTTCTTTGTTAAAAAAAACTTGGATCACACACATTGATAAATCTCTTCGTAATTTGCGAGCAATTATTATTATTATTATTATCATTATTATTATTATTATTATTATTATTATTATTATTATTATTATTGCTGCTAATTAAAATGTTTTATTTTGATTTAAAAATATTTAATCAATGTAGACTGGATTAAAATTTCGAGAGTAGTTTATCCTACTGAATATTTTAAAAGTTGATAGAAATAAAATAAGTTTAAAAAAATGAAGACATCTTTAAAAGTTGAAACTGAAATTATAAGCATTAGGGGCAAGAATCGTAAATTTAAATGAATATAAGCATTAAATTTGTGAAAAGCATTCATACACATACATATCAACTTATATCTATCTATCTATCTATCTATCTATCTATCTATTTATATATATATATATATATATACATATATATATATACATACACACACATATATA